ATTCCATGATTCTGTGACCCCTAAGATCATCAAGTCCAAAACTGTCAGAGAAGACAATTCTGAGCAGTGCCCTGCCCCACCCAGCAACACTGACCCCAGCCCTGGCCCCTCCACCCCAGCCCTCCAGGGCCCTTTTCCCTGGGACACATCTCCCTCCTCCCCCAGAGTTGGGAATGCCTCCCCATGGCTCCTGGGGTCAGAAGGCAGCAGGAGAGGGAGGGCCTGGTCCTGCAGAAGGATCCAGGATCCAAGAAAGGCAACAACTCTCTGACAAGGCACCATCACGGTGCAGCAGCCGTGGAAACGTTCAACGGGAGCCAGGCAAAGAGTGGGAGCATTAAAACATCGGGATCGTCTCTCCTCGAGGCCTCGTGCATCTCAAATTGCAGCATTTGGATTGGATTCCCCTCACTTTGGCTTTAGGAAGGGATTGGGATGATGCTCTGAGCTCTCCCGGGTGAGGGCTGGGCTCCTCCGTCCCCGGTGCCAGCACTGAGCCACCCTGTCCTGGCCAAGTGGGAGCTGTAGGGAAATTTTTCCATTGCAGGTTGGACTCTGTGATCTCGGAGATCTTTTCCAGGTTTAGTGATTCCGTGATTCTACAGAACGGAGGATGTGCTGCTCTGCACCCCGAACACGGGGCTTGTACAAGGAGCTCCAGGTTTCCTCCCTGCTGTGGACACTTCCCACCTTGGGCTGGTTTCCAGGAGGCTCTGTGGGGCACAGCAGGAACCCTCGGGGTACCCGGCATGGCCGGGGCTGAGCAGAGCCCAGGAGCAGGGAGGAGTCCCAGAACTAGAGGGTGTCACTGTGAGGAGCAGGACACGGGGGTTGCCCCTACTGTCCCCAGAGCTGGGGCACTCACGGGGTCTCTCTGGGGCTGGTGTGAGGAAGAGGAGCCCACAGAGCTCCTTGGGGTGCTCCAGCCTGCACAGGACAGGTGAGACCGGGCAGCACGGCTTGTGTGTGACTGGAGAAATGCTGAGACTTTGGGAGGGTGACTCTAGAGGTCCCTGTGAGGCAAGAAATGGTCCTGCAGCCCAGCAGCTCCACAGGGCTCCTGGTGGCATCACCCAGAGACTGCGGTGGCATCACCCAGGGGCCAGGGGAGGTGGCAGGATCAGACCCCACAGGCACTGGGCAGCTGGTGTGGGGGGCACCAAGAGGGTCCAGGCAGATGCTGTGGAGGAGGACCAGGGCAGAGAGGGCAGGATGTACTGCAGCCTGGCACAGGGTGGGACACAAGCCCTGTCTGTCCTCCAGGACATGAGGGGTGTCCGTGGCACGTCCTGAGGCAGCCCCTCACCAAGACCTCACCATCCCCTCAGGGTAAGGGGCGTGGGCACCACGGCTGCAGCTGGGTCTGGCTTCAGCAGAGCCTTAAGGAG